CAGTATTTTACTCCCAGGCAATGCAAAATTACCTCTCATGGAGCCCTAAAATCCTGAATTGGAATGTGAAATGATCCCCCAGCATGCTTGCCCCTTCTCTCTCAACCCCTATGTGAGATGAAAGAGATGTAAAGAGAGAGATGTCAGAAAATCATGACTGAAATCCCTAYCATCCTCTGTTTTGCTTTGCCAGAGAAGTTTTCTGCATAGCCACTTGCAGGCATCCAATTGAAAACAATGTCAGCAGGGCTTTTTTACTGGGTCCAGATATGTAAGAAATAGTTCTTAAACTCAGCCCTTGCCAAAGTACAGCACAGTTGTAGGATAACAAACTTACAGTTTAAGGTGTAATGAGTAAAAACTGAGTCCTATAAATTTACTCATGTGTTAACACTGCTCTTGAAAGAAAAAGAGATATTTTCCTACACTTTAAAACACTGCTATCAGCTCACTCTTAATAAGAGCCCACTGTCTCTGAAACGTTAAATGGGATGTACTAAGAAGTAAATTCTATTTGCTGCAACACTTTTTCTTAGATAATGTGACAACCTTTACTGTTTTTGTACAATTCCCTRTGACTGAAGCTCTTTTCTGTTGAGTGAGTGAAACAGAAATCAACAACCAGATTTTTTTTTATTCCCCCATTTACGTGCTATGCACTTAGGCTGTTGTGTTCCATTACAATTACTGTGGTCTAGAAGCAAAAGACCACTTCATCTCTCAAGAACTATTAACCCAAAGTCTTAAGCTACAATTGCAAATATATACTCTGTTACAGCAAACAAAATTTGCTTAGAAACTCTGTATCATCATTTACATTTGCTCCCAAATCACATGAGCTGCAAACAGGAATAAAGCATGAAAAAAAACCAAAACAGAAGCATAGGTAAAAGCAGCTAGCCTGCACAGAGTGCAATATTGACTTGAATGTTGTCAAAGGAAAAAAGAAAAAAAAAAAAAACAAACCACAACTCACCACATCTTCTAAATGACACAGTTCATTCCAACCCATTTAACTTACACAAAATACTGGACTCTCATGAACAGCAAAATTTGCAAACAATACAGACAGCTCTGCCAGCAAGTCTCACRCAACTACAGTATCTGTCTCAATACAGTTGGTCTCACATCAATACAAATTTCAGACGGTAAAACAAAAAATGAAGTAAGATTGCACATATAAACATTTTCACTTTGGTTTTCTTTACCCTTCTCTTTCTAGCAAACTTATTTACACTATTTACATATTTATTTTTAACTGTTTTGCTGTTATTTCCTTGAATTCAGCACTAAAATTTACCACAGGTGAATGGATRATGTATCTCTTCTAAATCCCACATGACTGTCAAGCCTGGGTACTGCCTTCTCAGTCTCCCAACACACATCTWGCTGAGCTGCAAAATGAAAGACTTATTTTGCTCTTTTAAGAAGAAGTGTATCCAAGAAAACACATAAGAATTAACTGTTTAGCCAACCTCCATTAATAAGCTTAAAAATTTTACTTTGCATAATCTGTAGTTATGAATGTATATGGGTTACCAAAACACAGAAAACTTGATTTGCAAATATTCTGCCTATATTACGAAACATTTTCTGTAACTATGGCTAAATAAATGCATTCATTATCTTTAAAGCCTCAGGGTAAAAAAAGTGGTCTTTCTCATTAAAAATACTTCAACTGCAACAACGGACACTGAATTATACACAATGCTGCTCATAAATATTCATGATAAATATAAGCTACTTCAATTTAAAGTTCCGTCTATTCAATTTAAAGTTCCGTCTATTCAAATTAATATAAGTCAAATTATAAACTGCTTTTGTTCAATCCAAATTGAACTGTTCCTGTTCCAATTTCCTGATATAACCCTGCTCTGTTTTTGTTAAAAGTTTACCACCAGGATTAATTCGTATTTATTTAGGCAGACCTACCTCCTAACAGATAGACCCACTTCATAACACTTTATTTGATTACATCAGAAAAGGACTGCCTTTACAGCAGTTCAGAGATGCTGACATCTCCAATAACTTGTTAAAGAAGAACTAGTTCCAAAATATTCTGTAGCAAGCAAAGCAAGGCAGGCATGACTTACAATATAAATTGTGTCTCCATGAAGTCCTGCTATCACCAGATWAAAAAAAAAAAAAAGGTTTGAAAGTATTATACTAAAAAGAACAAGACTAGTATTGCTAACTTCTCTCTCTATCATTAATGCTAGGAAACAGGAAATATTGGAGTCCATGGCTCACAGCTCCCAAGCAGCTTCATGTTTTAACATCCGTAAAGTTCCCAGGTAACATCTCCTATAAGGTTTGCTAATGTTGATAGACTTACTGCAGACAAAGAACTAAAGAAAATCTTCCTTTGAAATGCTTTGATAAAGCCATGTATTTTAAATATGTCAGAGAACCYTTCTGTGACACCAGACACTTGCAAATCTCACTTCCCTCCAGAATGAGCCTCAGTGAAAGAAAAAAGACAGAGTTCAGAATGCACATCTCAGATGACAGCATAGAATTACTTTTACATATATATATATTATATGTATATACATATACATATGTATATAGAGTATACATATTTAAGACTATTCACAGAATTATTTCTTCATCCAGTCTTTAGATAACAAAGGCAACATCCTCTCATCTTGCATTCTGAGCCAAGACAAACACACTGACTAGGTGAAAGAAGATATGCAAGTCAGGGAAGTAAAGAAAATAACAATATGAAAGAATCTATCTTTTATTATCAATGAAGAATAAGATGTTATTATAGCTCAAGGTCACATATGACAAAACAATCTTCAGTTAATGCCACGTACTGAGAGAAGAAAAATTAAAACATAATAATTGTTTTAGTTTGTTTTKTTCTTTAAGACCATCTGTAGAATTGTAATTTGCCACATGCTGAAAGATTGTGTTCCACACAGCCCCAGCAGGCTGTGCCAGTCAGGGTCAAGACTGAGACCCCAGGGGACACTGGGGTCAAATGAACTCCTAATATCAGATGAGAAAACGGGACTTGGTGGATTTGATAGACTCTGCAATATCTCTTAAATTAAGTTYATTTTAAAAAGAATGCTTTAAATAACGACTCAGGGAGCCTGACAAAGGAACTAGAATAAACATACCTTGTTCAAGTCTATCCATAAGAGTTTCTGCTTGTAGAGTGAATACTATATTAAGAATATAACCACAACAGAACCGTGAAAAATGACAGTATAAAAATAAGATACATTGCATGTGGAAGTGGAGAGTGGAATAAGAACCACAATCTGTGCAGGGAGGGAGAGGGACAGCAGGGAAACAGAAAAAATTAACTTCTATCAAGAACATCTCTCTATTTGTTTAGAACAACATCCTTTCATGAAACTTGACAAAATTAGAGCGCCAACATAAGAAGCAAGCAGCTTTTCTAAGTTCAACAGACGTATATGGAGCCAATATTTAATTGCCTCCTCAATATGTGATCATTTTACACGTACAATACCATATCTATCCATTTCAGAATATTACCTTCCCCTGGGGAGAGCTAGTGTAATGCACTATGCAATTTTCACACTGAAAGTAATTAGTATAATCAAATCAAAGGTAAAACGAATGTTGAAAAAAAGCTATGGTCAGTGTCAAAATATGTAAGAAAGCAATGACAAAAATTACATTRCATTCTTGCTTTCGAAAGTAAGAACATTCTCAATTAAGGTCCTGAAAACTTTCTTGAAAGTCAAAATAACTTTTAAATCACACATACACACAAAAAAAATAAAAGTACAATAAATCTGTGTGAGGACCTGATAATTTGCTCTGTTTATCTGTTTTCTCCATTTTAGATGCAGCACACCTACTTCACCAGGAATCATTTCCAAAAAAAGGAAAAAATTAAACAATAACTAAAATCAATGCCATAAAAATGAATTAAAGGAAATAAGGCATGTGTTAAGGTTAAAACAAAACAAGCAAAGAAACAAAATAAAACGACAGCAACAACAACAACAGCAACAAAAAAAATTCCCACAACCTGAGCTTGGTCAAAACCAATACTAGGCTAAAAAGAATATCTGAGAAAGATAATGACAGAAATTGTAGACCAAGGAAATATTTAATTCAGGTTTCTGGACAGACAAACTCTCACAAACGTTCTCAGAACATTATTTCAAACTATTTCTTCCCTCATTCCTCTTTCCCTCCTTTCAGCACACTAGAGAAAAGTTGGCAGCTCCATTTCATAGGTCTGCAACCCCATCAAAATAAACACTAATTTCCAGTTGGAGGCAAGACACAAACTTTATGAGGAGATACGGACACAYACTACCTTTCGCTGATGCTGCCATGGGGTCACGTATATGGAAGACAGGAAGGTTAATGGTGGGGTTTGTAAAATCCTAACTATTGCCTCTCCAGAGCTCCCTGAGTTCACACTCCATTCACCAGAGCATCCCATCCCATCCCATCCCATCCCATCCCATCCCATCCCATCCCATCCCATCCCATCCCATCCCATCCCATCCCATCCGGCATCAATTAAAACCAGTTTGTAGAATAAGGAGAACCTAATTCTGCCGCCATTCTCCCACTGAACAGTAATTTATTGCCTAGGTAGTTCGGCAGATTTCAAAGGATCTGGACCTACTCCAATACAAAGATGATAAAATTTGTCCTTCTGAACTCCTCTTCAGAAGATTATTATCTTCTAACTCTCTATCTCTCTCTCTCATGTAATTGTTACACACCTATTTTTATGTCTCCAGTCTCAAAATTGTCTTTGTGTTAGGAGTAAGGAAATGCACGAATTCCATATGGAAAGCAAATTTAGATAGTTATCATAGCTGTTCATAGCAGTTGGTGAAGATGGAGAAAAGCTTTTTTAATTATTAAATAAATTAAAATTTAATTATTAATTAAAATTAAGAAGGACTGAAAACTTGTTACTAACTAAAAAGGCTGGCAGTGCTGGCGTCAAAGACAGATTCAGAAAGCTAAATTTATTTTTAGTTATTTACCTGCAAGCAGAGATAATCTTTCTTCAGCTCTGCTTCTTTTGCCTGTTAAGCTTTAGTCAGTGCTTTGTTTCTTCCCTTAAGGCTGAAAGACAAATTTTGACACAGTCACCCAAGATATAAAAAACAGAAACAGAAATAAAATAAAAAGATGGTTCTATCTAGAATTGTGAGGGTATATAAGGAAGTATTGAGAATTCAGCTGATCTTACAAATGCATCAGAAGCATGGTATTTACAGGAAAATGCCCCTAATAAACTATCACTCATTGTCAGAGCTCTGAGGACATAAAACAAATACTGACACAAGATGAAAGATCAAAAATTTCAAGGATCATGCAAAAGTAAATATCTTAAACTGCATCATTACTAAAATCCCTAATACAGCTATATTGTTTTCCTCATTTCAACTAAAGCATAGTCTCCATAGTCTTCTTTCATCTACAGAAACAATTTCAACTCAAAATGCTGATATTTTTTCCTGGATCAAAAGTCCAAGCTACTAGAACAAAAAATTATACATGGTTGCACAGTTCCATATAAAATGCAAATGCATTATAAGTGGAAAATCACATTCCCCTTCCCCTCATCCCACAATCAGAAAACTAAACAGCCTACTTACAATCCACTTAATCCTTGACGATTTACCCATCCATTGCAAACAACAATTTTGCTTAACTTTTCTTTCACTAAAAAAAAATTAAAATATTAATTCCTTCCATATCCGATTATCAGAGTTCATACCTTTCCAATACATTATAGAAGAACTTTCTACTTTTAYTTTATTTTGAATTACAGGTTTTCATACATCAGACCCACAGTACCTTACAGCAACATGATACTTCTACACCTGCTAATACTTTGATCTAGGAATTGCTTCCAACAAATAACCACACAAGAAGTATTTATAAGAAAATGGCCAGTGAAGTAGATTTTCAGGGAAGGACTTAGGCAGTCTCCCATGACTTGAGTGGAGCTAACCCCTAGTATCATCTAACAAGAAAGCCCATACCAACAATCTAGGAAGCAGAAGAACTCAGATGCACCCAAGCAGCAGGATGTCTTTGATTTCAAATATCCGAGCTTGCAYACATATTTACATGTATGTAAATTTATGTATAAATATATTACATATTTACAATATTTATGCTTATTCACATCCACATTTATATATGAAAAAAAAAACCACAAGAGAAGAAAGAACCTTGCTCTAGCAAAACTTCTTTGATGCAATCATGATTTTTAACTAAAAAGATTGGCAGTACCATTTGTAACCACCTGCCAAACTGGAAATCATAGGTCAGCAAAAAATATACAGGGGTGGCTACAAAGAGATTCTCAGTTGCTCTTAAACAAAGTATTAATCCTTGTTTTATAGCTAAATTTGCTTCCTAAGCTAAAATTTTCAATATCCTCTGAAAGAGGGCAGAAAAAATATTGAAATAACTACGTAAGTTAGCTTGTCTGGCTGACAGCTACTGAGAAATACAATGATAGCATAAATCACAGAGGTAGGAAAAGAATTACACAGCATGATTCTAAAGGGCATAAATGAAAAAGTGGGATGAACTCAGGGAAGAAGGTGGCATAGGCTGAGCATCAGAAAATATTTCTTAACAGTAATACAGTTTAAAGTAGAATGTATTTTCCCTCAGAAAGGGAAGTTATTTACGGTTAAATTTGACAAAACACTGGAAAGTACAGCAGAGAAAGTATTTCTGAAGTGATGAGGTCATGGATGACAACATTTAATTAATCCTGTTCTTCATGCTTCTCATTATTAGATTTCTGAGTAAGATTTCAGTATAACAAAAAACTGCACAGCAAAAAYATGTTATTTTCTTGTTGGGTTCTTGTCTTCACCAGCAGTAAGGTCAGAAGGGTTTAGAAGTGTCATTTACATTTGCTGGAACTATACAGGCTGAACTATTTAAGCATTATCTGTAATTTTAATCCCCTATTAGTTATTCACTTTCCTATTACTATAACACAAAATTATCCCTTTAATCCTGGACTTCTATAGCATTTTTATTTCAAGCATCTCAAAGTACTTTGCCAACATATCTCCATTAAGAATATCTTTCAAAACCAATGTGGTGTATAATACTGCATGGCATTGATCCAGAAGTTATCCTGCAACTGCTGAACTGTCCAGCACCTTAATAGTCAGGCAGCACAATGCCCATGAAGTTCTCTGCAGCAGCAATAGCCACAGGAAATTACAAAGTTAAACTGTGGCCAATAAGGAAAACAAAATTCATTGTTTCTTTCAGTCCAATTCCTGCAGCACAAGAGATACCAAACCAGAAAAGGTTTAGGCACAACAGTAAAACAGGCATTTTCTTAAAAAACCGAGTATTACAATAGCAAATGTAGTACCAGTTGCTTTTGGTTTTCCTATTATTACTATTCTTACAATCTTACTTTAAACAATACACAACATTCTAAAATTCAGTTTGGAAAGAGATGGGGTAACTCAAAACAAGATGACTGGGAGTTTTGTTACAACTTTTCCTTCCCTTTGAACTACTAGGAAGACTTTTTCTAAAYGCACAAAGAATTCAGGAGTATAGCTGAATTCGAAATATGGAAGTTTCTCCTCTTAAATAAAAATATTATTTTCTATAGGGCAACTAAATAAATACTTTTTTTWAAATTGTAGAGTCAGCCAAGGCCTCTTGTTAATATTGTGGAAATCTTATTCACAATAGGGAACAGTCAAACCATAGTTCGTTACATTTGTCCCTGAAATCTCAAAATACTTGTGTTTTATAATCCTTCTTTTAAAGGTCCTACTCTACACTGCGTAAGATCTCACCGTGCAGAACTCTCAACCAAAAACTAAGAGAACCACAACAGTATGGAAAAACAACCACACCACAGCAGTATGGAAAATATAGCATGTTTACATAAACTGAAATACAATAATTAAAAGAGATTATAATATCACAGCAATCAATTATCATTCTGACCCCCAAAGAAAAATAATGAAAACCAACAGCAGCATCCCAGGAAAGCAYATGCTCTCTGAAATCGTTCAGTGCCATGTCATAAAACTGAAATAATGCACCACAAGGAGCAATTCGGCAACAAATGACAAGACATAGAATATATTCCAGAGAATAGAACAGCTGTTTCTTTTCACACCAGTCCACAGCCCCTGAAATTCCTTCCCCTCCCTCCCCTCTTTTAGCAACTACATACTCAAATATTCCAGGTATTGACACTATTATATCCTTCTTAAAGTGCTTACTTATCCTGAGAGACGCAGAAAGGCAAGGCACATGCCACTTTCTTTCAAGACCAAAGGCTGAAAGCAAAGACTTCTGTAAAAATGAACACCCACCAACCCTAAAGTCAGGTGTGGTTTTCCCCCTGGGAATGAGGAGGTGGCTAATGAAGTGGCTATTACTGCTTCCTCAAACACAGGCTCCAGTGTCACAGGACACACAGTGGTCATTTGGGCTCTGTCTGTCCTTTGAACTCCCTGCAGGCTTGCAGTGATGCACAWAAACAAAGGCCAGCGGAAATGTGTACCCTTGTTACAGCCATGTCCACTTCCTGCAGAATGCCACAACTTCTGGGACCACAATCCACTGCTTCCAAGAAAGCATAGTTAACAAATGCATAAGAAAATAATTAATTTTCCAGTTAAGTGCCAATCCAACTGCACAAGGTGACCAGTTTCTGCCAAAAATCGTTCTTCCCTCCTTGAGTGTATTAAAGGTTAAGATAGAAAAGGGAGACAAGAGGAAAGATTTTTCTCCTTTGATATACTTTGCATTTGATCATGCATTGTGTGTGCTGTTTATTCTAAATCTATCGGATTCCTAGGCCTTTTCAARAGAAAAACATGATTACTTAAAAAACAATTTAGAAAAAAAACCCTCAAAAAACTGTCAGTGAGTTTCAGGAACAGGATTAGCATCTGAGGCTATTTCAAAGTTACTTTTTACTTTATTAATTAATGATTATTTTCAAATATTTAACCGGTGGTCCTGTAAAYAAAATTTGCTTAATGCTTTCATCCCTATGACTCCCTCATCTTTTAGAGCTGAGGACTGTAACATGAGAACTTTATTTCCAACAATACCTGAGGGCTTTTGTAAAATCAGATGGAACTGCCACACTCATCCACAAAATGATGTCACATAACTTTGCTAAACCCTCAAACCCAAGTTTTGCTCTGTACATGACAGAACCATATCCCTTTAAGCTGTCTGAAGCCCACCATCACAGCAAAGGGCAGGGTGGCCACTGCTGCTTTCAGGGAAGATAGTAAGTCTGTAGACACAAAGACAGGGTTCTGCTGTAACACGYATTAAGCAACCCAGCTGCCAACAGCTGCAAAGATGGGGAGCACCAGCACCCCAGATGGGCTCTGCTTCTGGCATGGCAATCTGCATCAACAACATGGCTTGGGCTACAAGGAGAATTGGGCTGGTCCCACTGGCAAATGAATGGCATGTTTGCTCTTCTGCATGTGGGTGTCCTGAATGCCAAAACCTAACCCAAAACACACTGGTTTGTAACTTACAAAGGAAGGCCTCGGAAGTTTGATGCTTATCCCARTACTGCAGCTGAATATGTTTTTCTGTATTTTCTGTAACATTCCTAGTTTTGGTTTTGATAAAGAAAATATCCAGTAAATTTTCTATGTATGGAAAATCTCTGTTTCCAGAAGCCTAAAACATAGCAAACCTGTGAAATTAAAATTGAAGTAAATTCATCTGTCTATATTAATTACATCCAAAAGTACTGGAGTATTTTAGTTCTTTGTAACAAATAGCAAATTGCATCAGATATACAACTGACAAAAATAATAATACTCTAATGCATATGCAATAAAATACGAGTTAAATTAGAAGCAGCAACTGAAGCACTTTAGCCAGAGACACATTGAATATCTACATGATAATTGTTGTAAACATCTACTATTTAAAAAAACAAACTGTGAAGGAAGTAGGAACCCTGTCCTGATACCTGAAAGATGTTCTAGTGAGGTGGGGACTGGTCTCTTCTGCTATGCCTGCATGGAGAGGACCAGAGGAAATWGTCTTAAAGCTGAGAAAGGGTCTCAGATTAGATATTAAAAAAAAAATATTTCATTATTAGGGTGGTCAAGCACTGGAATAGGTTGCCCAGGGCAGTRGTGGAATCATAATCCCTGGAGGTCTTTAAGAGACCTCCGCTTCAATGTGGTGCTAGGTGAGGTGGTTTAGTGATTTAGGGGTTACAGTGGCAGTGTTGGGTGGACAGCTGGAGTGGAGASTAAAGGTCTCTTCAAATTTTGATGATTCTATGATTCAAAATAAATTGCATTGCAGATAACATTCAAAAATCAGTATTAAATACAGCTGTGGCATAATATCTGTAAGTTACAAAGTTAARTTGATTCTGCAGCAAAGGAGGATACTTGGTGTGTGATGATTCCAGCGACAAAAGGATCAGGATGCCTCTGGTATAAACAATAAAAGAAGTTCTTAAGTAGAAAAAGGCCCCCAGCCTTACAGCAAAGAAGTAAAGTTTAGTAAAAAGAGGTAGAATCTACTTTTGAAATGTCTCCGATCTGCTGTCCTGTGGACTGTATGATACACAGGCACTGTGCACAATGATTCCTGACTGGGTCCTATCCTCTCCAAGGCCAGTTTCAGCACACATRGGCTTGTGTGCTAAATTCTTCCAAAGTTCAACACAGTTATTCATTTTCTGAAAACCCCAACAAACAGGAAACCTTAGAGATGGGCACTGGTAAATCTCATGTGGTCACTTCTCAGGATGGTGGAAAAAGAAAAATAGTAACAAAGCAGAGATTTCCCATTGAAATAAAAGCACAGAGGCCGGGAATCTTTGCTAATCTCTGTCAGACACTCTCACTTCTTAACTTAAACTAAATTTAACTGAACTGTAGCTACACAGGTCAAGCTAGTTTAAATAACAGAATTCATCTTAAAAACAGGTATTCAGAGAGAAGTCAAACACTGTAACACAACAGGCCCTGGTACACTAGAACAGATGAATACTGACTGCTAATGTCTATAGTGATTTCAGATCACAGAATGMTGGGGGTGGAAGGGACCTCTGGAGATTATCTATCCCTCTGACAAGGCAGGGTCACCTAGAAGAGGAATATATCCAGGTAGATTTTCAACATCTCCTGAGAGGGAAACTCCACAAACTCTCTGGGCAGCCTGTTCCATGGCTCTGCCGTCATGTAAAGTTGTTCCTCACACTGAGATGAAACTTCCTGTGTTCTAGTCTATGGCCATTGCTCCTCATCCTTTTGCTGGACATCAATAGTCTGGCATCAACTTCTTGGAATACACCTTTGAGATATTTATATACATTAATGAGATCCCCTCTCAGTCCTCTCTTCTCCAGACTAAGCAGGCCCACCTAYTGCCTCATAAAGACAGATGCTCAAGACCCCTGACCTGTACTGGACTCTCCCAGCACATGAACACTAACTTCAAATGTGTACAGCGATTTTGGGGCAACCCCCTGCACAGCTCACTTATTGCTCCTTTCCAGCCCCGACTCCCATCTCCGCTCGCCAGCAAACACTCCCCGTGTCACACACCAGGTACGGGGCGCGCACACGGCGCTGCTGCCCCACCGACCAGCGCATCTGAGCGCTGCTTTCGCTTTCCCTGCCGCTCGGGCCTTCCCTCCCCGCCCTCGGGCCCTTCCCAGCCGCACGGCCGAGCCCGACAGGCACCGCCGGGACACTCGCGCCTTGTAATCCCCGCCGGAGCTGCCGGGCAGGCCCGACCCGGCGGGACCCGGGAACCGACCCCGAGTCCCCCGAGCCCGCCGCCCCCGGGGCTGCCCCGGCCCGGGAGGCGCCTTTCCCCGCCCCGCCCCGCCCGCGGCTTGCGCCGGGCCCGGGCCAAGCCTTGGCCGCTGCCGCTCCGCGCCGCCACTCACCGCCGGCCCTGCGGCCCCGCTTCGCCGCGGCTGCGCCCGGCGCGGGCGGCGGGAGGGCGGGGAAAAGGGGCCTCGCTGCCGCGGGAGGAGCGCTCGGTGTCGGCAACATGGCAGCGTCCAGCCGTGCCCAGGTGCTGCGGCTGTACCGCGCCCTGCTGCGGGAGAGCCAGCGCTTCAGCGGCTACAACTACAGGTGCGGAGAGAGCTSCGGGGCGTGGCGGACGCGGGGCTCACCGCCGAGGCGTGGGGTGCCGGCGGTGCTTGGGGCAGGGCCGCGGGCGYGGGGGAGCTGCGGCCTCCGGGAACCCCACGGGGGAGACGAGCCGTGCCCTGGAGGGTCAGCGGGACCGGCACCGGGCCTGAGCCCGGCTCGGAGCGCAGGGAATGGGCAGMCTCCGGTCCCTCTGCCAAGCCCCGGGCTGCCGTAAAAGCATCAGAGCATGGGCTATGCGTGCTGTAGGAAGAAGGGACAGGTCAGAGACCTTGGGGTCTGGAGTACTTGTTCTGMGTCTGGGCTCCACAGTACGAGAAGGACAAGGAGATATTGGAGAGRGTTTGGAGTACAGTCACAAAGATCATGAAAGGTCTGGAGCATCTCTCTAACGGGAAGAGGCTGCAGGAGCTGGGCCTGTTTAGTCTGGAGAAGGGAAARCTGAGAGGGAATTGCATTAATGCATATAAATATCTCGAGGGTGGATGCCATGAGTATGGTGCCAGACTCCAGTGTTGCCCAACAGCAGGATGAGAAGCMGTGGCCATAAACTAAAATACAAGAAATTTCCCCTCAACGTGAGGAAGAACTGCTTTACATTCAGGATGTYAGAGYGCAGGAACAGGCTGCCCAGGGAGGTCATGGAGTCTCCCTCTCTGGAAACATCAAAAACCCAGGTAGAAGTGTTCCTGCGTCACTTGCTCAAGATGACCCTGCCTTGTCATGGGGGTTGGACTMGATGATCTCCAGAGGTCCATTCCAACCCTAATGATGTTGTGATTCTGGGCACCTGACATAGCTCATGTCTGCTTTGGGTGCTGCCTGTTTCTGGGCAGGGGAGGGCTGGGGCCAGGCTGCAGCCAAAGCCTGGTGCCATGTGCTGTGTCCACGCTCAGGATGCAGTGAGGGATCAGGGTTCACTCCTCCCGCCGCACAGGATGCCAGGGGCTTGCCTGCCCTCTTTGGCTGTTGGTGAAAGATGCACAGTTTTTTGCCAAAGGTTAGACATAAGCCTGTTCTCCATTAGACATCTGTTGTGTTCACAGTGCTACTCACCTGCACTGGCAAAATTGCATTGCCCACTTTACTGACTTTGCTGCTCAGTTGGACCATTGGAAGAGACGCGAGCTACCTGTGCTGTGAATCATCTCCTAGGCAAGGACTGTGAACAGTTTAATAACTGTGGTGAGCTCAGTGCTGTGCAGGGCACAAGTATTCCACAAACCTCTTGTGCAATAGAGTGCCCTGAGAAGGGARACTGTGGGGCTGAAAATGAGCCAGCACTAATAAACCTTCACTGCTGACTCCAAACACACTCTGCTGCTATCAAGRCTTTCTCCTGCTCTTCGCTGTCCTTGGTGTCCCTGSTTGTCCTTGTTTTGGCTAACAGGATTGTASGCAATGGAGATGACTTGAGATGTGCACGTGAACAACAGCTGAATGAAGCTCATGTCTGGGCCACAGCRTSTTTCCAGCAATAGWTTTGTAMTCAGGGAATGAGCAGTGAGGAAGCRAAGTCCACAGCAAATTTTAAAGGRTAGAAATCATATGGTGTGTTTACCTTGCAGATCTGKTTTTTTGACACCATGTGACTCTGCAAGTTGTCCCTTTCCTTAAAGGAAAGATCTCAGTTTTTGATGGGCCTGTCCTTAGATCCTATAAAAGTAGAAAACATCTAAAACCTTGTGGTATATACACATTTGTGAGCAGTAGCAATTTCCAGCAAGAAATGATCAGCAGCTGTTACATTTAGAGGTCTGCTGTGACCACAACAACAGTTCTGCCTCAGTGTTTACAAGTTTATGCCACACCCATAGGTAAAAGGGGCACCCCATTAGCTTCTTTCCTGCCAAGATAATCAGCCTTGCCATGTCCTCGGGGCTGCTGTAATGTGATATGGCAGTGCATGGGAGTCAACCCAAGGACGTTGTAAAGAACCAACATTGCAGCAAAGTAGAAGGTATTACAAATTAATATTCTTGGTTCATTATTTCAGCTAGACAGTGTCAGAATACTTTATYACTGCAAATTGCGTATTTGTAAGAGTATGTCTGGAATATGATCAGCTAGTTGTTGTCTCCTTATTTGCTTACTGTGCTTTTTTCTCCTAATTTTGTTGCTCTGGTTTAACCAGGCAGGCAGCTAAACAGCACACAACTGCTTGCTTGCTCCCCACTTCCCAGTGGGGAGAGAATTGGGGAAAGAAAAACAACTTGTGGGTTGAGATGAAGGCTGTTTAACACAACAGAAAAAGAATGGGTAATAATAATAATAATAATTAGAATATACAAAACAAGTGATGCACAATACAATACAAAAATAGTTGCTGCCAGTGAAGGCTCAGCCAGTTCCTAAATATATAATRAGCATGCCATCACATGGTATGGAATATCCCTTTGGCCAATTTGGATCATCCTGGCTGTACTTCATACCAGCTTCCTGTGCCCCCCAGCCTACTTCCAAGTAGGTTGGTGTGAGAAGCTGAAAACTTCTTGAATTAGTGTAAATCCTGCTTGCATCAGCATGTTATCAACATCATTCTCATCCCAAATCCAAAGCACAGCACTGCAYCACCTATTAGGAAGAAAATTAATTTGACTTAGCAGACAAAACTAGGACATGTGTACATATAGATTACGATGGAAAATTCAACTTTTTTTTTTTTATGTCTCTCCTAGTAAATATATTCTACATGTTATCTGTAGTGACAGATTTTCTTCTACCACCTAATCGAATTTGTGTGGTAACTGAAGAATATCATTCATGTCTTAAAGTAACTCAGGTTACCACTGGCAGCCTTCAGAATAACACAGGAGCATCRCCAGTGTCCTGAAGTAAATGTAAGTTTTTGGACACCCAGATGTGTAGGCCAGGTTTTAACAGCAGGGAGAGAGAATTTTGTAGACTGTAAGTAATTTCGTGTCTGCCCTTCTGCCCTATTACCCAAGCAGACAGTCTGAGCATGGGAGAATGATTTGTACTGGAGGAAAATCAATATGCAGAGAGGCAAGATGTGAGGTTTTTGAGTCAAAAAGGTGGTTCTTAACAAGTGTACTATTTTATTCTGCTTGGTTAACAAAAAGTAGAAGCTCTGATGGTTCATAGTGTGTTGGATTAGAGTCTCAAYTAAATGGATTTAGGGGATATTTCTAAATATCATTAGTGATTTAAATAATGACATGTTGTGAGTGGTTTGGGTACAGGAAACAAAAGAATTTATAAACTTGTGAAAGCCATTAAAATACATCTGGTTGCAAATGAAGATAATCTGAACTTTAACATTTCTTGTTTGTTTAATGTGAGTGAAGCTCAGTGGTCTTAACACATGGGAATCTAGTAAAAGAAAGTTCTCTCCAGAAGGGCAGTGAAGGACTGGAGCAGGTCTTCCCTGAGAGAGTTTGTCATCTCCATTTTTGAAGGTTTTTATAACAGGGTTAGCCTAAGAGCACCATGGCTGACCTTACCTTGTTGCATGTAGGCCTACTTCAAGTGTGACATTGACCTGGATATGCTTCAGAGATTCTAACTAACCAACTTCCAATGATTTTCAGATCCGAAGCCTTTTTTGCCCTCTAAAGATACTAACAATGGGTAGGTAATAAGTTCAGGGTGGCATCATACGTCATGCTTCCAGCTCATCTGCTTTCTATTTCTTTAATTTCTTGTTGTTATGAGCAATGTCAGAAGCTTTGAGCCTCTCTGTTGGGATTCCTCTGCAAATAATTTTGAAATATTTTTAAAGTCTTTCTTGATCTATTGCAAATTTATTTCAGTTATACGTTATTTTCTCTGTTAACTGGTGGATGTTGCGTTTTTATTTATAGATAAATATTTTTCTTGTGTTTCTAAATTGCATTTTAATGGAATTTGATTTTTCCTTTAGAATGTGCAATATTATTTGATTAATAAAGCTACCCAGAATATGGAACAGTCGGGGAAGAAAATTTGTCGAAACAGATTTTGCATTGCAAATAAGTAAATTGAATGCAGTTCACCTGAGACATGCCCTTCAAGATTTTAAAACTAGTAAAATCTGATTTTTGCAAATGGCTGCTAACCTAGAAACAAAACTRAGTAAAGCAATTTGCACTGTTTTTCAGTGCAAGTTACTTTTCCTTCTTTGACTGACGCAGTTGTTAATCTGATTTTATGGAACATAGAACCATAAAACTGTCTCAAGATTGCTACCCCTTGTTCTTGTGGGGGACTTCAATTTACCRGATGTCTGCTTGGAATAGAGTACCACAGAGAGGAAGCAGGTTTGTGGAGTATGTGGAAGATGAATTCCTAATGCAGCTAGTGAGGAAACCAAATAGGGGAGGTGCCACACTGGACCTGTTTGCCAGGAGAAAACGACTGTTGTGTAATAAGAAGATTGGAGGACACCTTGGGCACAGCGATCCTGAAATGATAGATTWATCAATTCTCAGAGAAGTAAGGAGGGGGATCAGCAGAACTGCCACCTTGGACTTCTAGAAGCCAGATTTGGGCCTCTTCATGGGACCTGTTGAGAAAGTCACTTGGGAGGCAGTCCTGAAGGACACAGGTGTCCAGGAAGGCTGGAGCCTGGCTAAACAGAGAGCATTGGAGGGAACTCAAGGGCAAAAAAAAAAGAGAAAAAAGGGAAAGGGAAAAAAAAAAAAAAGATTTTTCACTTTTAGAGGAAAGGACAGGCAACTCAAGAGAACTAAAACAATGTCATGAGGTTATGCAGAGAGAAAATTAGAAGAGCCAAAGCCCAGCTGGAACTTTATCTGGCTACTGCCATAGAAGAAGATAATAAATGTTTCTATAGATGCATCAGCCAACAAAAGAAGGGCTCWGGAGAATCTCCATCCATCAATGGTTG